CTACGACTACGACTGTTACTACTACTACGGCTACGCCGACGACTACGACTACTACTACTCCACTACTACTACTACTACTACTACTACTACTACTACTACGACTACTACTACTACTACTACTACTACTACTACTACTACTACTACTACTACTACTATTACCGCTACTACTACTACTACTACTACTACTACTACTACTACTACTACTACTACTACTACTACTACTACTACTACTACTACTACTACTACTACTACTACTACTACTACTACTACTACTACTACTACTACTACTACTACTACTACTACTGGTAGTACTTATTACTTACTACTACTACTACTTACTACTACTACTTACTACTACTACTACGACTACTACTACTACTACTACTACTACTACTACTACGCCTACTACTACTACTACTACTACTACTACTACTACTACTACTGCTACTACTACTAATATTGCTGCTACTACTACTACTACTACTACTACTACTACTGCTACTACTACTACTACTGCTGCTGCTGCTGTTGCTACTACTACGACTACGACTACGACTACTACCACTACCACCACTACACCTACGACTACTACCACTACTACTACCACTACTGCTACTACTACTCCTACTACCAGATTTAACTACATTGGATATGCTGCTCGTCCTCGTCGCATACATTTTGTCATCAAGAATAGAAGAACAAAAATTCGTATGCGTTGTTTCCAGCCGTACGGTCGATCTCATTGCGAAGTGTGGCGGTACGGATCGGCGTGGCACTTGCACAAAGACAATTGAGCATCACTCAGGTCTAAAATACGTGAGCGCTAGAACGTATGCCCCGCGTGCCCGCATCTGGTGTGTTGCAGTTTCCCCGGCCACTGTTGCTATCTATATATATATATATATAAATATATATATATATATATATATATATATATGAGGCTCCCACCGCCTCCGCCAATGTACATCCCGCGATTCGATGACGCAGCTGGCAATTCAGTCGGCAGAAAGACCAATGAAGCTGAACGCCCAGAGCCGTCGGGAACGACTACATGTGTACGGGAAGGTGGAGGCCTCGAGGCGCTGTCCCCGACATCCTCGGAAACCCACCGTGCAGAGGCACGACAACAAACCAACAAGCTTGTAACATACGTCTCGGCACCTGTCGATCCAAAAGGTGGAGACCAAGAGGCGCTGTCGCCGACATCCTCGGAAACCCGCAACGCCGAAGTCGTACAACAAGCAAACAATATGGTAACATACGTTTCGGATACTCGTGTCGCTTCAAGGGAAGGTGGAGGCCCGAGGCGCTGTCGTCGACATCCTGGGAAAACCACAACGCCAAAGACGTACAAACAAACAATACGGTAACATACGATTCTGGACCTTATGTCGTATCTAAGTAAGGTGGAAGCCCTGAGGCGCTGTCGTCGACATCCTCGGAAACCCACAACGCCGAGTCGTGCGCCACGATGATCTGGAGGACGGACAGTCGTGATCATAACGCAAGTGTGCAGTTAGTGATGGCGCAACGGCACATCGAGAAAGGTATCCCGATCTTGCCGCCGAAATACTCGACGAACTCATAGGACTCGTTCGCGACAGTCTCACGTTTTGCGACTTCGCCCAGATTTGGGAAAACGCAGATACCAACGGAAACGAGCATGGTAACACGCACGGCCAGATTCCTTCCGCTGTCCGTGACGCATTCTTCACGGCTGCCGCTGGCTATGGCTACATAAATGTGTTTGCCTCTGGGCGAGCCTACGATACGCTCGTGTCCTCTCTGATTGCAAACGGGATCCTTGTTCAGCATCAAATGCAGGAAACATGCGCGGACGATCCGGATTTGATTACACATTCGCTAGGATAATGACACCAGTGACATGGCCACATCACGTCGGTATCGCAAATATCATGTTTTCTTGACCTCCCGTTGATACAACTAGAACGGTACCGGTTTTCTCTTCACCATGGCATACCCATCACTCGCCCTGTCCTAGGCCTCGTCTCCACCCCTTCCTTATCCTGGCTCGTTGCTGCTTGCTGAAGGGCCAGGCAAGACGCGCTGTTTGGCCAGTATCCGACTTCTGCTTTGCGTCATTGCATCTATCGTCGCATCTCAGCTGCCCTCCTCTTACAATCGCACACTGTGCGAGTATGACAGCATACTCCCACCACTGCTAAGAAATAAGAGATGGGGGAGGTGGTGGAAGAGATGTTGCACTCCTGGAAGCAGGCACGTGTTTCTCTCTTGCATGCGGCGGCACCTCAGAGCCTGTCTGCATAGCAAGCGTGTCACCAATGTACCTCATGAGTCCTGCACGCTCGCGTACCTAATTGACTCCAGGCTCACACCTGAAGGCATTGTAAAGAAAATACACTCGCGCAGGCGGGAATGTGTTTTGTCCGTGCGGGCGGTAGCAAATCAGAGCGTCATTACTCACAGTTGCAGCCGCTTGCAGAGAGCACCACGCAGAAAGTGAGCACCGGCCGCATCCACTACTAATCGTACTGCTCCCGAGGTGGGCCCTTGTCTTAGGGAGGCATGGGGAGGCTTTGTGTTGAGAGGTTGGTTGTGGAAGATTCGAACATGGTAGCTATCGTATCCTGCCGCTTCCTTTTTGTTCAATGCAAACGCTGCCCAGGCCAGCCAGTATAGACTGAGCCAGCTTTCAGCCTGCATGAAATTAGTGCCCAATACCCTTTCGACTCCAGACCCTCGGCAAGGGCAGCGGTTAATTGTAGACGGGTACGGAAGTGAGGTGGAGGAGAGGAGCTGGAGGGGAAGATGCGAACATGGTGGCTCTCGTGTCGTGCAAGCGCCTCAGGCCAGCCGCTGTAGACTGAGCCAGCCTTCAGCCTGCATAACATTCGCTCCCAACACCCTTTCGAGTCAAGACCCTCGGCGAGGGCAACGGCTAACGGCTATGCGGCTAGACGGGTACGGGGGGCAGGTGGAGGTGGAGGCGGAAGAGGATAGGCCAGCCTCGGCAACAGCATGTTTTTTCTCGTTCCTCTTGTTGCCCAGCCCTGTTACTCCTGATACTAATTACGGTGACGGTGGCCCCTCAACCTAGGAACCGAAGAGCGGGCCTTCTGCTGGCTAAAAGAACGTGTCTACTGCTCGCAAAGAGGGACTTTACAGCTTAGATGTTTCCAGCCTTACTGTCGCTACGAGGCTTGGAAGAGATGTGCATACAGTCTATCCTCTTTTCACTTCACAACCCAGGACAGGTGAGAAATACCCCCCACGTGACATTGTGAAGTACTCGCTGCAGACCGTCCTTTGCACCAACTCCCGAACCGCTAGCTGTGCAGTATACGCAGACTAAGGCAGCATCCCAAGAACTGCTTTCAATACGTTAGTTTGGCTACTTAGCCTTAGCAACAGCACGTGACCACCTGAAGCAGTTGCACGTACTGCTTATCTGAGGTTAAGAGGAGGTGGATGTACGGTGGTGGTGGCGAGAGCACTCAAATACGGCCTGGGGTGAACCAAAACCCTGGGCAGCAACCCCAGGACTGCACCATTGCGGCGTCGCTCTCTGCACTTGTTTCTTTACCTTTGCACTGTTTGCAGCATGTACCTGAGGAACTACGTGTGGCTTTTCATTGTCTTTCAGATGTATTGTCTTCTGGGCTTAACACCCAAGGTACGTGCTGCTTCACCTGGCGGGCGACGACTGTTCTGACTGGCGCCCAGCAGGTACCCTTGCGCCAAGTCGTTTAAGTGTTACATCTTGGTAGCGTCCAAAACCCGGAGAGCAAAGAGGCACTCACACCGAAAAGCTTTCCTGATGAACTGAAGAGCTCTGGGGAGCTCTCCTGAAGCGCTTCTGAAGCGCTGCCAGGCACGCTTCCACGCGTGCCTGCACGCGTGCAGGCACGCGTGGACGCGTGCCGGAAGCGCTCCCGGACACGCTGCGACCTCACACAACTTTCTGCGGGGATTCTGGACCGGCGAAGATGGGCTGCTGGCAGGCACCACCACCGTCCGGCTTCTAATCTAAAACCCTATAGCTCTCAGAGAGCTCTCCGGGAATGTCTGCCGCACGTCAAGAACGCCACATGCGTAAGCGTAAGGTCTGGCCGAAAAAAGAAGAGGTGAAGACGGAGGAGCAGCAGAAGGAAGAGCAGGAGCAGCAGGAAGACAAGGAGAAGGGGGGGAGGAGGAGGAGGAGGAGGAGGAGGAGGAGGGGGAGGAGGAGGAGGAGGAGGAGGAGTAGGAGGAGGGCGACGAGGAGGAGGAGGATGAGGAGGAGGAGGATGAGGAGGAGGAGGATGAGGAGGAGGAGAAGGAGGGAGGAACAGGAGGGGTAGGTGGGGCAGCAGGAACGGAGGGGGCGCGGAAGGGCAAAACAACGAGAGCGACGCGGCAAGAATAAGATGCATTGGATGTTCGTCCCATCTCCTCCAACTGTCCCTCCTGCTCATCCCCCCAGCCCCCCTTCTCGCATGCTCATCGTTCTCAAACGTCTATCGTTGACCGTATCCGCATATACGCACGCTTCCACATCCAAGACCTATCATATCCGTCCATCACTGCACGATACAAAGCCGACACCTGCCATCTTAACATGGGCGTTCCGTCGTCTTTCTTACAACATGCGCACAGGAACGGTCATACGCACACCCGACACACACACACACACACACACATCATACGCGAAAGAGTGTCATGAGCTCCAGCTTCGAAGCCTCACACCAGGGCTCGACCTAAATAGTGTTGTTTGTTTTCGTGTTGACTCCGCTCTCCCTCGTTTTGTCTTCGCTCTGCCCTTACTGCAAGCGGCCCACGAAATCGACAAAAAAACGTTCAGGTCGAGACCTTCCTTACATCATGCTGTCCTGAAAGTTGTGCTCTCGCTTTGGCGCGGCGCGCATGTCCCCCTCGCCTATTCGACAGATGCGGGGTCGCGCGCACCCATCAGAGTTTGCCTACCAGTGGCGCTGCTCACACCAGAGAAAACTATGTGTCGCGTTGCGCCCCGTCGCGTCGAGCATCTGCACGCGCAAGGACGCTCTGAGTAAGAACGGCACAACCTACCCCCATCCCCAGCCATGCCCCCCACTCCCGACCTGGTGATCCAGGGGGTCCTGGCCGGGGTGAGGGTGACATGTGAGGGCGACATCTTGGCCCTCAAGGCCCCCCACAACGCCCCCCCGCCAGCCAGGACCCCCTGGATCACCAGGTCGGGAGTGGGGCTTATTGGTTGGGAGTGGAGGTGGGCTGTGCTGTCCTCACCTTACCATCGCTCGGACGTCCCTTCCTCGTGCAATGTTCGGGTTTGTGCGTTATTTTTTTTGCCAGATAATCACGGATGCGCGTCGATGGCCCCCGCCGAGAAAAAAAAACACACGTCCGAACGAAGCCAAGTCACGGACAATTCTAGAGACTAAAAAATCCACCCCGATAATAACCACCCCGACACGCGAAGCCGTTTAACAAACGCACCCAAAGAAAGAATCAAACAGGGCAAGGCTGTTTGATAAACGCCCAAAGGCCGTTTAGTAAACGCAAATTGTCTGGTCCGGGTGGAAATTCGGCGTCCAACGTCTGCGCTGCCCATGGTTATCCTTCGCCACGACGCGTCGTTGGAGGCGGGGCCGCGCGCGCTCGAGCGCACCCCATTCCCACGGTGGGAGAGCGCGCCGGTCCAGACATCTCGAGGGGAGGCGGCCGGGACTGGGCGGGGCCAGCCGGCTTGGTCGAGCTGGTTGGCTCGATTCCTGTCCCGACCCCTGCCCTTGACGCTGCGACATATCCTGCGTTTGTGCATAATCAGTGTCCTGGCCGTCGTCATCATCATCATCACCACCATCACCATCATCATCATCACCATCATCAGCATCACCACCACCATCATCATCTCATGAGCAGCACTATCAACATCATCACCATCATCAGCAGCATAATCAATATCATCATCATCCGCAGCGTCATCAGCATCACCCGCAGCATCAACAGCATCAGCATCATCGGCATAATCATCATCATCATCACCATCATCATCATCATCATCATCATAGTTATCATCATTTTCATGGTCATCATCATCATCATAATAATCATCATCATCAAGGCCATCACCGACATCATCAAAATGATCATCATCATGATAGCTGCTCTTTCACGCGCCAGGCTGAGATGATAATGCATGGCGTGTCAGAGCATCGGTTCCAGACCCAGCACAGATGGCCGATCGTATATATTCGCACAGGCAGCCAGACACTGGGTGGGGAGATCCAGAAGCTCGGGCATTCGACAGCAGTCCCTTGAGGGCGGCGGAGGGGAAGACGGAGGGAGCCAAAGAATTCTACGGAGAGAAGCTGTGGTTGCGGCGTTCTCCCGAGAATCAATCAAAGAACGCTGAAGCTGACTCATGATAGCTGCTCTTTCACGCGCCAGGCTGAGATGATAATGCATGGCGTGTCGGGGCATCGGTCCCAGACCCAGCACAGATGGCCGATCGTATATATTCGCAGGGGCAGCCAGACACTGGGTGGGGAGATCCAGAAGCTCGGGCATTCGACAGAAGTCCCATCCCCACTCCTTAAGTGCACTGGCAGGTGGACTTGGCATTCACAAAAGGAAAAGCAAGCTGGCGGCAAATCGAGCGACACATGCTGACGGGATAGATCTGAGCACTACGGGTCATGAACTTACCTGCTGAACCGAAACCTGCTAGCTCCTCGTGGGGCTGATTCGTGCGGGAGCAGACTGTCGCTCCATCGCCGTTCCTACTGGGTTGGCAACATCGCACTTTCAACCCGCTGATGTTTATAGTGAGGAGATCCGTCATTTTCCGAAACGCGCCTCCATGCTGGCACATGTCGACGCAATTATAGGCGCGAGACCACTGCTGAGCAAGCTTGCACAAAGCTGGAGCCCGCCACAGACGACTGGAGCGCGGGCTTTCCATCACAACTTTGAGTCATTTTTCGGCGGCCAAGTGCATCAGCCTCAGAGAGACAGCGAGAAGATTATTATGCGTGAGCACTCGCTGGCGGTTGGCAGGAGAGAGATCTGGCAAACCCATGATCTCGGTGGGCCCGTCGCCCCTCAGCGGCGGCGGGCCGAAGTTGGCGCGGCGGGCGCGGCTCCACGCGCTGCAGTCTAGACCGAGCCACAGCACACCAACGAGGCCCGACTTCAGTAACCTCCCCAGCTCGGCATCGATTTGCGGCTGGAGAAGGTCACCGCGGGGGCCGCCGCTGATGTCGTAGCCGAGCGCGGTGAAGCCGAAGGTCCTGAGCGCGCGCCCGATCCTGAAGCAGCCGCAGAAGAGCTCGCGCTGAGGCCGACGGCTGGCGCGCCTGGCATTGGGCTAGCGCGCCGCGGAGCGCGGCAGGCAGCTGCGAGACGGCGCGCTGCGCCCTCGTCTGCACCTCGGCCGAGACCGCGCCCTCCATCTGCTGGGCCCTCGCGGCGCTCTCGTACCGCGACAGGCTGGCATCTGACATCCAGCCCCCCCTGGCTTTGACCCCCTTCCTGCTGCGGAGGCGGTCGAGGGTGTCCCAGCATGCGCCGCCGCGGCGGAGCTGGTACATCACGTAGTCGAACTGGCCGAGCCCCGCCGCGCTGACCGCCTTCACCCAGCGGCTGCGGGCGGTCGAGTAGCTGAACGGGAAGATCACGTCGCCAGGCGGGGTCCGCGCCCGCAGCAGCAGCAGGAGGCCCCCCAGCATGAGGGCGGAGGGCGAGTCCAGGAGGAGCGAATGGTCGCACAGGCCCGTCTTGGACCGCTGCGTGGTCTCCTCCGGGAACATGTTCAGGGCCGCGAACTTGCTGGAGCCCGCCGGGGGAGCAACGGAGATCTCCGCGATCGCCATCGCCTCGCCTGGGCGCAGGTAGCCAACGAACATCAACAGGCAAAACATCGCCTCCAGGGGGAACCCCAGGATCACCAGCTGCAGCGCGATCAGGCACAGGTGAGGCCACGGCATCGGCGGCCGCGACCTTGGAGACCAGCGGGCCATCCGTCCACAAGGCGCTGGCGCAGGCGGTCAAGGCCGCGTCGGTCGCCTTCGGGGAGGACAGCCTGAGCGACTTCGTCGTCACGAAGGTCTGGAACTCGCTCAGCCTCCTGTCGTTGTCCGTCTGAGTCGCCATGCTGATCGAGCTGGCCTCGAGGAACGCCATGTCGATCGGGTCGGAGCTCTCCGGAGGTGCTCGAGTCATCCTGTTTGCCCTGCGCCCCCCCCGAGTAACTCCCCCGAAAGATCTCGACGAGGCGGGGGCCAGGCGCCGCCGCCGCGGCGGGCGCGCTGCCGGCGCCCGGCGGACGGCTGGGCGCTTGGCCGGCAGCAGCTCGCGGCCCCCAGAGGCGCGAGCCTGCGCCCGCCAGGTTCCTCTCGGAGGGCGCCCAGCGGTAGGGAAAAACTGAGCCCGAGGCCACAGATAGACACGCCATTCTCCCACAAGAGGTCAAGACTACGAAAATCGTACTTCTGCCCTTAACGAAAGACAAGACACAAACGAAATTGTCTCCGATCTCGAGAACTCTTTCCCCGTAGTCCTTTGCAGAGCGGACAAAATGTCGCGCCAACAAAACTCCCGCGCGAGACTCCAGGGTTGCAATACGCTCAGCCCCCAACCAGGGCAGGGCAACACACGCGGTCCAAGAGGCTCGCGCCAAGTGTTCCTCCGGCACTTCCTCAAAGAAAGGATTGGGGACCAAAGGGGCGTCGTCCTCCCCGCTGCGATTCTTGCAGGGCAGGACGGTCTGCGGGCCCGAGAACGGGTCGCCAGGCGGACCGAGAGCGGAGACGCGCGGAGGCAAGGCCCCGTCACGCCCTTTGAATAGTGAGCGCTCGCCACGGCGACAGCAGCTCCTGTCAGACTGGAATCGCACATGCCCACGGCACTGCAGTAGGGACGCCTCCGGTCGGCGGCGCAAGAAAAGAGCAACCTCCGAAAGACCGAGAACTCCCAGGCAGCTGCTGCCCAGAGCCTCCCAGGCTGGCCCACGGGGCTGGCGACGAAATCGTAGCACCAACGGAACGCTGACATGAGGCAGGGGTTCAGCATGGCCGCGTCGAACGCAGTGCCCGATGGTGACCTCCACCTGTCGCGGAGACACCTTGGGGCGACGCTGGAACCACCTGGGCGCGGCCTCCAGCCGAGCCCGTCGTCGCCCAGTAGCTGCACCGCCCCCGCGCCCCCGTCGATCTCCCTGCCGAGCAAGGCAGCCGAAGTGGAGGCGGCGGCGACCTCAGGCACATCGAAGCCGTCGGCCACCAGCTGCGCCTCGATCTCGGCCCGCAGCGCGTCGGCGTTCTCACGGGAGGTCGAGCCGACGCCGACGTTGTCGCAATAGGCGAGCACCGCGGGCTCACCCTCCGAGATGTCGGGGACGGGGCCGCGGTCGGTGAGAAGCGCAGGGGGACCCCTGCCGATGGCGACCTGCACGCGCCAAGACGCGACACGCTGGGCAAGGTAGAAGGCACAACTCCAGCCCATCGGCACCACCTTCAGCATCGGCCAGGCCCGTCCGTCCGACGGCGGGAGCGACCCTACCAACGGCCCCCCGACGCTCCTGGCAAAGCCCACGGGGACCGCCGGGAGAGAGGAGAAGGGCATCAGCTCGGGAAGGTTCTTGAGCGCGTAAAAGTAGCTCTTGATGTCAAGGCTGCCGACGAAGAGCTCCCCCCTCGTCTCGGACGTCTCGTCGGGTCGGGGCCTCCTCGGCCCCTCCAACTCCAGCCTGCCCCAGGAGGCCCCTGAGCCCATCGCCAGCGCGGGACACTTGCGGAAGCGCCTGTTAGGCACCCGAGCGTCGAGCACCAGCCTCAACCTTCCAGACTTCTTGCCAACGAAGAACGGGGTCGCCCAGTCCTTCGGCTCCGCGGTGAATGAGGGGAGCCCAGCGGCGTGCAGGTCCCCGACGAAGCCCCGATAGAGGTCGGGATCCTTGCGCAGCTCGACGCCCATGAACGGGGTGATGGGCGGTGAACTCTCGATCACGCGTCCCCGCTCGCCCTGGTCTAGCAACATGGCGTTCATCCAATCCCGTAGCATCTCCTGTCCGACAGGGTCGATCACGTCGATGAGGGCCGGCGGCGTCGAGCCTAGCATCGGCATATCGACGAGCTCCCTGTCATAAGCCCGCACTGGGCACGCGGCTCCCTCATCATAGAAAGAGCGGAATCTCAGCAGCTCCCCTGCGGCTGCCCGAGTTTGAAATACATCGCTGCGCTGGGCGCTCAGTCGCGCAGCAAGCCGAAGCTGATGATGAGCTTCGTGGCGGGCGGCATGCGCAGTTCCCGCGGAGCCCCCCGGGGCCCGGTAGAGCTCGTTCAGGGCGCTGACAGCCTGATTGACGGTGCGGTCCTCTCAAAATACCCTGGCCAGCGCTCGCCTCTGGCCCCTGGAACCTGCCCCCGTGGCGGGGAGCTCCTCGACCATCGGCAAAGGAAAAAGTTCGCGCTGCCGTCCGTCAAAAGCTGGGCGTCGTCCGGGCGCGTAGCCACGCGCAGCCCGAGCACCGCAGTGGCCTGGGATACACGGTCGAGGTCGGCCAGGCCCCGCCGCGGAGTCGTCATTCATCGAGAGTGGGCGCCGTCGGGGCCCTCCTCCTTGCCCTTGCCTGCGCCCTTGCGGCCGCCCCGCCGCATGCAGGCGCAGCTCCTCACGTGCCTCGCGCTGCCCCTTGGCGACCTTCGCTTCGCCCATCGCCTGGCCCGCGACGCACCTGTGGAGACTCGGAGCCACCGTGGCCCCATCCAGCCCTGTAGGGCCAGCCCATGTAGTGGTCGGCCGCCCCGTAGTCGGGCGCCGATGGGCTGGCCCTGCGCGCGCCCTCGACGAGCTGGATCCGCCTTGCGACGAGCTCGCCCGTCTGCAGGCTGCGCGCGTCACACACCATGACGAACAGCGCCACGCACAGCACGTGGCGTTCGTGAATTGACCTGTCCCCCGTCGGCACGTGCGAGACCCGAACCCACGTGTCGTGGTGAGTGAGCGGAGTGATGCCGCCGTCTCTCCAGCGTCGCAGCACCCGCCCGACCGAGGCAGCACCCTCGAGCCCGAGTCCGCCCTGCGGGAGCGCGTCGTCGAGCAGGTCCACGGCCTCTGCGAACGGGCGCCCGCGGCGCCGCTCGCATCGAAGGCGACAGGAAGGACGCACGGGTCGTCGTTGGCGTAGCCTCTGACCTCGCCCTCGCCCATCTGCCGAGCGAACACCTTGCCAGCAGGGAGCGTCACGATGGCCATGTCTCCGTCGACCGTGGGCGCGTCGCCGAGGTCCGCGATCACCTGGCCTCGCTGGAGGCCTGCCGCATCCTCGGCCACGACCCAGACCCGCTGGAAGGCGCCCGCAGCGGCGCCCAGGCGCGGGGCGCCCGCCACGGCGGCCGCCGGCTGCGCGGCCGGCGCGGCCGCGACCCACGCGAGGAGGGCCCCGTCCGCGAAGTACTGAGCCCTCTCCGCCGGGGCGGGCACCCGCCGAAATCGGTAGATCCGATTGGGGTCGATCCCGGCGGGCGCCGCGCCCGGGCCAGCCAGCGCACGGATGTCCAGCAGGTCGACGCTGGCGAAGGAGATCTGCTCGATGTAGCGGTCGCCGTCTGGCGTCAGGGCGCCGCGCTGCGCGTCGGCCCCGACCGGGTGATGAGCCGCTCGCGGTAGAGGGCGCCCACCACGCCTGGGAGGTCGTAGGCCACCAGGACCCATACCCCAGGCGCGGGCGCCATCAACGAGTCGCCTGCCTCGCCCTGGCCGCGGCGAGCGCGGCGCGGGCCTCCTCTGCCAGGGCCGTCGGCGCGAGCTCAACCCCAGCCTGCTCGCCCGCTGCGGGGGGCGCCTCCACCGCCACCGGCGGCGCGGGCCCCGCCGGCGGCGCGGCCGGCCACGCGGCCGGCCAGGCCGGCGCCTCCAGCCGCCACGGGCGGCCGACCACGAGCAGGGCGAGGAAGAGGCCCCCTGCCAGCGCCCCTGCGAGGAACGCCGCCGCGAGGGGCCCGACCAGGCCCGGGCAAGGAGCCGCTGGCGGGCACGAGGGCGCCGCCAGGCACGCGGTCCGCCGCTCCGGGCCGCACCGCTGGAGCTGCTGGCTCAGCAGCTCGAGCACCCCCTCGTCGGGACGGACGGGAGTGCAGTCGCAGAAACACGCAGGCGAGTGCACGACGTTGGCCAGGAGTCCTCCGAGCGCCGAATACCCCAGCTGCAGCACGTTCTCCATGCACTGCCGGCCGAGGACGGGCGCCCAGAACCTCTGAGCCAAAGAATTCTACGGAGAGAAGCTGTGGTTGCGGCGCTCTCCCGAGAATCAATCAAAGAACGCTAAAGCTGACTCATCATAGCCATCATCGTCAGCATCACCATCATCAGCATCATCGGAATCACAAGATTCATCTTCATCGTATCCTCATCGTCATCAGCATCATCATCATCATCATCAGCATCATCATCGTTGTCCTCATCATCAGCAGCAGCAAAATCAACATCAGAATCATCGTCATCAGTATCAGTATAATCCCCCTCATCATCAGCATTATCATCCTCGTCGTCGTGGTCATCATCAGCACGATCGATAATCATCATCAGCAGCATCGTCAGCATCAGCATCCTCGTTATCAGCGTCATCATCCTCATCATCAGCAGCATCATCGTCATCATCCGCATACTCCTCGTCGTCATCATCATCCTCATTGCAATCCCCATCGTCATCGTCATCGGCATCGTCTTTAACAGCAGCAGCATCAGCATAATCATCAGCGGTATCAGCATCGTCAATTTGTCATCGTGGCCACAATCTGATCATTACCATTATCAGTATCTCTAGCAACGGATCATCATCATCATCATCATCATCATCATCATCATCATCATCATCATCATCATCATCATCATCAGCATCGTCATCATCATCATCATCATCATCATCATCATCATCATCACCATGGTCAACCATCATCATCGTCCTCATCCTCATCGCCGTTTTAATCATTACCAAAATCAGTAGCGTCGGACCTCCCAATTCCCCTCATTCCCCACCTCAACGGCCTCCTCTTCTCAACCACCCCATTCCGCATCTAGAGGCCTCCGAGATGGGGTCCGAGTAGATGGGGTCGAAGGATCGCGCCGCATCGCCGATACATCGGCGATGCATCGGCGATGCACCAGCGATGCATCGTCGACGTGGGCGATGCATCGGCGACGTCGACGTGATGCAACTCGGGCTCCACATCGAACCGCATCGGCGATGCATCGGCGATGCGGTGAGATCTTCCGATCCCATCTACTCCGACCCCATCTAGGTGGCCTAGAGCATCGTCGCAACAGCAGGCTTTTCGGTAGAGCCGTCCGGGTATTCCGCCTGAGACTTCCTTACAAGTTACGATGAGAAAGCTCAAACATCTAACACTTGCGCGAAACGGGAGCAATACATTGTGGAATTGCGGTGTTCGCATTTTCGCTGCGCAAGATGATATCAAACGTTTCTAAAGCTACACGAGTGGAGGGCGATTCCTATTGCAACACGTGGTATCGCCTGACAGGCTCCGCAAATCTATGCTCAGTGAGCTTGAACTTCCGAACGGGTTCACAGATATGAAGGGCGCCCCCCATTCGAGAACATGGCTCTCACAGAACCAACCTGAAGATTCCGAAGAGTTGAGACCGAGCTTTCGCCTGAAAAGTTCTGGACACGTGCTGCCTCGAGGCTCGGAAATAGCTTCACGGATGGACATCGATTCCTTTTCGAGGTCGTCCTCTCGCCCTGGCTCCAAGTACCTATGCTTGAAGACCTGCCAGACACATGTACGGCGAATTCCTCGCAAGCACATTGCGTTGAATCACGTTCAACGATGTGCTATTGAGCATGCCCGGCGATGTAAAGATCAGGGAATAAGGATCTGACCATGCAAGTACAACATAACCTCATATTTCCAGCGGGCGTTCCTTGAAGTTGATGGGCGTACGTGGGTTGGCAAATTCGGGGACTTGGGACGGGAAGGTTGGTGTGCTGGGTGCTCTGTGTCGTTCCTCCTTTGACTTCGGAGTACCGGGCGAGATCCGCAAATGATACGAGCTAGAAAGCGGCCACACTCCTGCTGCGCAGTTGGAGGCATCGAACGGCGATCGTCATCGGGGTGGGGGAGGACAGAGGAGGGAGGATCAGCATCGCCGCCATCCTCGACTCCGTCATCGTCGACTTCGCCGTCGTCACCGCCGCCGTCGTCGTCGTCGTTGTCGCCGTCGACGACTCCGCCATTATCAACGTCGTCGTCGTCGTCCGAAGTCGTCGTCCTCGCCGCCATCGTCGCCACGGCCGCCGACGTCGTCGTCGTCGTAGTCACCGTCGTCGTGCGTCGTCGTCGTGCGTCGTCGTCGTCCGTCGTTCGGGGTCGTCGCCCGTGGGCGCGGCGGAGGGGGGAAGCCGCGGGAGGGGTCCCGTGGGCGAGCACGATGCGCGAGAGAAGGTCCTCAGGGCGCCCCCCAGCGGCGCCGCGGCCCTCCGATTCCCCGTGCCCCTTCCCTTTCCGCGAGCATCTCATCTGTTTCTCTTCCTCCTTCTCATCCTCCTCCATATCCTCATGCAACTCCACCTCCTCCTCCTCCTCCTCCTCCTCCTCCTCCTCCTCCTCCTCCTCCTCCTACTTCTCCTCCTCCTCCTCCTCCTCGTCCTCCTTCTCCACCTCCGCCTCATCCCTCTATGGATTCCTCCTCCTCTTCTTTCTCCTCCTCCTCCTTCTCCTCCTCCTCTCCTCCGTCTGCTCCTCCTCCTCCTCTCCTCTCCTCCTCCTCCTCCTCCTCCATCCTCCTCCTCCTCCTCCCCCTCCTCCTTCCCCCTCCTCCTCCTCCTCCTCCTCCTCCTCCTCCTCCTCCTCCTCCTCCTCCTCCTCCTCCTCATAATCATCATTCCTTGCCTCCTCCCTTGCCACCTTCTCCTCCTCCTCCTCCTACTCCTCAACATCCTCCTCCTGTTCCTTCCCACCCCACTACGACGACGGCAACGGCGACAACGACGGCGAATCAGTTGACCCAGGCGAGGAGGACGACGACGAAGGCAACGGCGACGACGACGACGACGCTGAACCAGACGGCCCCGACGACGACGCAGACGCAGACGCCAACGTCGACGACGACGACCACGACGACGACGACGACGACGACGACGACGACGACCATGCTCAGGGAAGCGTTCCCCCGCGGGCGCCCGGGCGCCCTCCTCCGCGCGGGCGACGTTGCCACTGGGCGAGCGGGGCGGGGCGCTGGGGGGGAAACGGGCCGCTCCCCCCGCACGTGCGAGGTGGGGACACGTCCATATCCATTGACAGTGGAATCAACGTCGAGGGGACGCCAGCGGGCGGTGGATATGGAAACAGTCGACCCATAGATTAAGGATGTGCGGTAAGGACGCAGGGGCCTTGGAAAGCCATGTTGACATGTTTCGGGATTGGCCGAAGGGGCTGGTCCGCGAAAGTCTCCAGGGATGGGCCGAAGGGGCAAGGATGCAAGGGCAGCCTTGGAAAATTGACCATCCTTACCATGCAGGTTGACAGTACAGACGGACCTAGGACAGAAGAACATCCTCCAAGAATATGAGACCCAGCCAAAGCACACAGAACATCCAAGGGTGCCCTCCCCAGGATGCACGAGAACATCCAACAAACAAGAAGCACATTAGGATACCCTCCCATAATATACCTCGGTCTGACTATATGTCTGGGACCCTGCACTCCGCCCGAACAGCAAGCATGGATCCGGAACGCAGGCAGACATACCAGTACGATGCGCCCCCCGTGGACGAGGCGGGCGTCCGAACCGAACAGTCAGTACAGACATCCTGCAGCATTTCGCCACGCAGGCGGCATGGCCAGAAAGCGCCCGCCACCGAGCATGTACTATAGAAGTCCTGAGCGCGCACGTCGACCCCTGGGGGAAGGCGGCGCACACATGGTCGAATAATGTTTGGGTTTGGGTGATGCCGATGATCTTGAATCTGGGAACCAAGGATCCAGGACCCAAGTTGTACATGGGTGGGGCCCTTCTGGGCCTCCAAGAGGGCCCTCGTGGCCACGGCTGGATCCGCTTCGACATGTTGGCCAGAACGCACCCCAGGAGAGCGGGGGTCGTGGGTCGTCGTGGCCGTCATTGTCGCGGTTTTCCTTATCCTCCTCCTCCTGCTCTTCCTCCTCCTCCTCCTCCTCGTTATCCTCCTCGTCCTCGTCCTCCTCCTCCTCCTCATCATCATCAGCAGCATCATCAGCATCATCAGCATCATCAGCATCATCATCATCATCATCATCATCATCATCATCATCATCATCATCATCATCATCATCATCATCATCATCATCATCATCATCATCATCATCATCATCCCCCCCCCTCCTCTTCGCCCGCCGATGCGACGGGGGAGGGACGGGGGGCGGGGAGAGGTTTGAGTTTGTGTTTGTCCTTGCGTTTGTGTTTGCACGTGCAGTGTGTTTATGTTTGTGTTTGTGGTTGTGTTTGTGTGTGCTTGTGTTTGTGCTTGTGCGTGTGATTGGACTTGCGTGCGCGCGCGTGCGCGCGCGCGTGCGTGAGCGTGCGCGTGTGTTTGTGCGCGTGCGTGTGCGCGTGCGTGTGCGAGTGCGTGTGCGTGCGCGTGCGCGCGTGCGTGTGCGTACGTGTGGGCGCGCGCCCGCGTATGTGCGCGTCCGTGTGCGCGCGCGTGCGCGCGATTCTCCGAGCTGTCACTGCGCGCGGGGCTGCAAAGCCAAGCAAGTGTGTGTGTGTGCGTTTGCGTATATGTATGTGTACGACTATGCGCATATGTATTGTTATGTATGGGCATGTATATGTGTAAGTGTATAGTTACGCAAATGTAAATGTGTATGTGTATGTGTATGTGTATGTGTATGTGCATGTGTATGTGTACGAATATGTGTATGTGTATGAATAGACGTATGTGTGTGCGTATGCGTATGCGTGTGCGTGTGCGTGCGCGTGCACGTGTGACCGTGCGTGTGCGTGTGTATGCGTGCGCGCGCCTGGGCAATTGTGTGTTTGTGCGCCTGTGTATGTATGTGTGCCTGTGTGTGTCTCTGTGTGCACGTGTAGTGCTTGTGTGTATGTGTGCGTGGGTGTTTGTGTGTCTGTGTGTGTCTGTGTGTCTGGGTATGTGTATATGTGTGTCCGTGTGTCCGTGTGTCTGTGTCTGTGTGTATGTGTGTCTGTGTGCATGTGTCTCTGTGTTTTTGCGCGTCTGTGCGTCAGTGTGCTGGTGTGTGTCAGTGTGTCTGTGTGTATGCCTGCGTGTCCGCGTCTGTGTTCATGTGCGTCTGCGTCCGCGCGCCTGCGAGCGCGCGCTCGCCCCCCCCTGCGAGCCACGCCTAGCAGCAAACCGAAACTACGCCATTAACCGCGGCGCGGGTGAAAAAATATGCGCCCACCCCAATGGGCGCCAAATCGCCCCTACAGGGCCCCCCACCCGGCATGCCCCGCGCGCGGCAGCAGAGGCCGATCATGGTCCGGAAGGCCAACGCGCTTTCTCCAGGCGCGAACCCGCGCCAAGACAAGAACCCAGCATCCCACAGAGCCCGAACGGCCCAAGCATGCAGCGAGCCACTCGAGGCACGTTCTTGACTCGGGAAAAACTGAAATGGTGAGAATCCCATAGCCTTGCCACGCGCTCGTGATTGCGGAAGCTGAAATGGTGAGACCACCATTGCCCTGCTCAGCATGTTTGATGCCGTCGCTAGTCAACATGAGATGAAAGCAACTTCGACCCGAAACTTCTCCAGGGGTGGGCGCAGGCCATACTATCGGGAGCACAGGGTTACCACGCCGAGCTCGCCCCCGCCCCCCGCCCACCAGCAGCGGCGGCGAGCAACGCGCGCGGCGAGGGCGGGAGCTGCATAAGGCACTCGCCGCCGACGCAGCGCCCGCCCAGCCCGCGGCGGCAGGCTCGGCGCGCGGCGTCGGCCCATCGCTGCCCGCCAATCAAGCCTGGGCGCCAGCGTCACTCCACGCCGCTGCCAGGCTGACGCGGTGCGCTCGCTGGGCCTGTCGCGCCTACTCGCGGAAGCCATCCTGTCTGCTCATCCAGGCCGCCTGGCCCTCCGCGGTTTCCGCCTCGCGCGCGGCGGCCATCTGGTCGCCCGCTTGCATCGCCTCCATCGTCGGGCCACTGCCTGTCCCCGACGGCGGCCTTCCCCCAGGCGCCCGGGCCAGTCGCGCGCTTCGCGTGCGACGATCCGCCCCGCCAGCCCGCCCAACCCCTGCAAGGCGGCCTCTGGCCTCTTGCGGGACAACCGAGCGGCGGCCTCGGTCGCGGGGCCGTGGGCGGCGGCGCCTGCGCCGCGAGCCGCAACCGCCGCAGCTGCCCGCGCCGGCCCAACTGGCGGGGCCGCCACGGCCTCGGGCGGAACTGCAGGTCCAGGCGGAGCGGGCGCGAGGGCAGCATCGGCCATCGGCGGCGGGGCAGCCGCGCCCACGCCCCCCCGGCAAGCCGCCGCGGCCCACGGGGCGCCCATTCCCGCGCCTGCCGAACGTCGGGACCGCAAAGGCCAACGGCGGAGGGCCAGCCGCACCCGCACTCTAGACAGGTTTCTCCGGCCAACGATAGGGGGCAAACAAACCGACCTCGCTTTTGACTACCCTCGCTTCCAAGAGATACCAAGCGAGGCCGCACTACGGCCTGCACTGGTCAAGCCGCTTGACGAGGAGGCGCGTGGCATGACTTGGTTTCGCCTGGAAGCGAAAGCTGGGTAGGTAATTCACACTCTGAAACGAGGCGCCCAGTGCCCCGTGCCCGTTCTTCGCCAATCTGCGCGGAGGCAGCGGGCGCCTGGCCGGTCGCAACACTGTCTCGCCAGCAACTGCGGCATGGGCCTGGCCCGCACTCCGCAGCCCCCCTTCTGGCGGTTGCCCCCTCGCCCGCGCTGCCTAGGAGCGGCCTCGCCTGGCGCGCCGACAGCCGCAGCGCGCAGCGGCAGCTGCTGTGACCCAGCGACTGGCTTGGCACCGCCGTCTAGTTGCACCGTTGACATCCGCTGCGCCTCTCGACCGTCGCCTTCGCGCCCGGCGCGCAGGCGGCGCCGGGCGCCCTGGGCGGGCCAGTTCGCCCGCTGGGCGCAGGTCCACTGGCCGCTTGGCCCAATCGCGGCCTCTGATCAGCAATGGATTTTGCCTGGGCCCCGCGGTCTGCCGCTTGCTTGTGCAGGGCCTGCACCGACCAGCTCCTTTCTGGAAAGCCCGCCGCAAGTTGCTCTCCACCATCTGCAGCATCGCCATATCCTCGACCTGGTCGTCACCTCTCTGCTCGGGCGCGCCGCCCCCGGTGGGCAACTCGGCCTCGCCCTCGAGGTCGGGCGCGCGTTCGGCTTCTGACTCGCCGCCCTTCTCGCCGCAGGTGGCCGCGGGTGCCGACGTCGACCGTCGTCTGGTTGGGCGTCGGCCTGGCCGTCCACTCCCTGCTGAGCCCGCGTGCTCTGGGCCCACGCGCAACGCGGCGGCGGTCTCTTTCTCTGCAGACGGGAATCACGTCGTCGACGCCGACTGGACGCATGGGCCGGCACCTCGGCGGCGCCCAAGCGGCGGGGCCGGGGTGCCAGTGCAGCCCGGCAGGGCACTACCAGCAGCACATCCCCAATGACTGAACCGCCACTTCTTCTGGCGGCCAGACGCCGGGACGGGCCAGCCACGGGGCGCGGCCTGCCGTCGTCCTCCGGTTCGCTCTCCCAGGGCAGCAGCTCCTGGAGCGCGTCCCACTCGCGCCGCATCCAGAGCCGCAGCTCATTGTGCTCCTGGCTGCGCCACGACAGCGCAGGCGTCTCGCCCGCCATGGGTTCGCGCGCCCAGCCCATGAGGAGCCGCGCGCGGCGCAATAAACCTGGCTTGCCGGGCCGCCACGCGCCGGCACAAAGCAGCCTATATAGCCAGGTTGCGACCTGCGCGTCGCTGCCCCCGTGCTCCAGGCGCGAAGAAGGGGCCCACCCATGCCTGCGCCAGCGGCGCCCCCGCGCAATGCATGCACCACTCGAGCCAATAGTCCTCGTCGTCGCCCCCCCCTCCAGACCGACACTGCTTATCCACTTCTGGCTCCGCTCTAGCAGCTGGTTCTGGAGGCCCTGCAGCTCGGCCCCCAGGGCCCCGCTGCCGCCGCCGGCTCCTCCGCCTGCTGCCGACGGCGAACCTGGCGCAGGAGCCTGCGCCAGATCTGCTCGCGCGAGCTGCGTCGCCACCACCTCGCCCCGCTGCCCCC